AATTATCTATTGCTAACGATTTTTGTCAATCGATACCAATCGATATTTTTTTCTGTGAGTTCGATTGTTATCGATTGCAGAAATCAATCGATAGCAATCGGTGATTGATATCGATTGAATCGATTGATTTCTGATCTCGATTTTTATCGATTGACTGCGCCAGGGATGTCTGAGTAGAAAGCATACTCGTACCGGCACAAATTGTAGACACAGACTAAACTCCTGTGTACTTATTTACAGATTAATTTTGTGTTTCAGTCTAACAACTCAAAAGCATTTAAATATGGTGCTGCAAAATTATTGAGCATCGTGAAAAAACAAATTTCCTGAAGGAGTTAACAAAACGGAATATCGCTGCTGCCGGCTGAGCTGATGGGTCGTTTGGCGGTTTTCTTTGTTTCTTGAGAGCAGCAGAAAATAGGCATTACAGAACGCTTAATCAGGGCTTTTCTACCAGAAATTAGGTCAGCTATCTAATAACTTCATTCGGCGGGTTATATAGTAGACCATTCTCACTGGAAAGTTTATATCTTTCCGTCGTTCCCTTGAAAGAAGGTTTTATTTAAGTGTTGGTCTTAATCTCCAAATACGAGTTATATAGGAAACATACCTTGAAGGCTGTTTAAAACCACATACGGGTACCACAGGAATGATAATGCTTTCAGGTTTGCCGCAAATCCAAGAACCCATGTCACACCCATCACTGAAGCCATTTTAACACAAATTAGAGCTGCGTTGCCGCCCTGTCTATGATTGGTTACTTGCTGGCTTCTCTGAGATGGAAAGTAGAAAAACATTAATAACTTCTACTTACACGATCATCGGGCACAATAGAACAACTCAAATATAATTATCTGTCTGGGTAATATTCTAGTCAGTCAGGCAGGTAGTTTGTAAGTGTGGTCCGCTTGGGCCGTCAGCCAATCATTTAGCGGCGAATAGAAAGACAGTCAGTCCATCAGTCAGTCAGTCACCCCAGCCAGTTAGTCAGTTAGTCAGTCATTCATGATCCATCAGCCAGTCAGTAAAGTAAGTTAGTCAATCACTCACTCAGTCAGCCCGGCTGTCTGTTCAGCTGTCCGTTAGTCAGTCAGTCACGGTCAGGTCTGTGTGGTCTATCGATCAGTCAGTCAGACTTTCAGACGGACAGTCAGCTAGTCACTATAGTCGGTCGGCCAAGCAGTCCGACTGTTTGTCTGTTAGTCAGTCAGTCAGTCAGTTAAGCCAGTTAGTCTGTTATTCTCTGCTCGGGAAGACATTAAACTGCTGTGCTCTGTCGGCGAGCGCGTGAAACACTAAACTGTGAGTGCTCCGACTAATGTCATTCTTTCATACGCAGCTAAACTTTCACAGAGTTACTTATTAGTCAGCTTTAGTGGCTTGGTGACGTATTCACCTAGTCTTACAAGACAGCGTTCAGTCGATTGCCGAGTTCACCATACCCTTTATTAGAAAATTCCTTAATTAATTTATTCATCTATTCATATCAAAATATTAGTAAAGGAAATGGACGTAGGTCAGTAGGTATATCACTATATAGGGCCTTTAACTTAAACGAGTTAACCAATTTTTGTCAGTTTTTCATGCATCTGTCATGTTATTGCTGTTATTGGTCATGAATTTCGTCATAACATTGTCACAGTAGCTGTGGATCCAAGAGGAGAAATCTAACGGGATTCGCAGACTACTTTGACAATGTTATGACGAAATTCGTTGTCAATAACAGAACAGACGCATGAAAAACTGACGTCAATTTGTTTTTTACAATAACAACATTGTATAAATTATAAATTCATGTCCCTGTCTCCTTATTATATTTTGACAATGATAATCGAGCGCTCGAGAATTTCTGCTGATATTGTTTAATGCATAATCGACCAGCGGTTTTTCTCACCTTTCGAGTTGTGACGATATGAATGGTTGTATGCCCCAATGCAAACAGATTGAAGATCATCACCAGTGCAACGGGCACAATAAACGAATAAAGAAGGGCTCGAGACTGTGATATGAAACATTCTTCCTCTCCTTGCCCTGTTGATTTCAACAAAGCGCAAGTTCGAACTAGCACTCAAGTTTCAGTGAGCTATTTTTGTGTGGCTTACTAGCCGCACTGACAGGTCGATCGGAATCCGAGAATTTTGTCAATTCGCGAGAACATATGTGGCATATTTGTCAGCTAATTCGCCCTCTCAGAGCAATGATGGTTAGGTTTTTAGCCACACATGTCCGCAATGCGGGCCCATTTTTCTGAACGCTGTAGACTGTATATTAAGTTATGATGGCACCTACCATGAGTGCTCTACCATAAATTTAATATAATAATGTATTCACGAGAAGAAGGAAAGCCAATTGAAAATGTATGAAATATTTCAACTGTACCCTGGTCCCCGAGGTTCTCTTTCTTCTTTCTGCTAATAAAGTGAAAAAAATCGCTAGGGCAAAAACGTCTGGAACCAGCGTAATTTGTGTCGCACTGTTGTACTTAAAATGCTTTGGGATCTAAAGAGGATTAATTCACCAGTACATGGCTACCCTGTGCAATTGTACATACCATAGATCATCAAAGTTGTCAAAACAAAAAAAAGTTTCAGTGGCGGATCAAGGGGAGCCCCCNCCCCCCCACTTATTTTGGATAGAGAAAGAAATCACAGAATGAAAGAAACGCCGGTGGGGCAAGCGAAACAACCCCATCTCCCCCCTCCTTAGCTCGAGGTCTGGATCCGCCACTGAGTTTGTCTATATTGAGGTGGACACGAATGTTGCTACTCCCTTTTAGATGGGATGCAAGTGCATTCCCGCACTGTTAGTCCCAGCTTGTCGGCACCCATGCATTTATTCTCCTGGATAGGAAAACACAACACAAAGAAATTGTCCACAGATTTTTATGATGTGACGAGCACTAACCATATCCGATGGAGCCTTTCTTGACTTGATCACATATGACGCAGCTGAGGACAACAATGGCCGGAACTCCCCAGGCATATACACAGTACTTTACGAGGCGTGTCCTGAGGCCTCCTTGCAAATTTGCTGTAACCCCTATCAGAAGAGTGATCAAGAAGCTAGTCTTACTCACATCTACGATAACGAAAAAAACTACAACCAAAACCTTAAATAGTCCTAAGCCCTTCAGTGAGCGTTTCTATCCATGGTATCGTTCATGGTATCGTTCATTCGCTTCAAATCGATGCAGAAAGGATTCAGACCTGACTCTCTAGAGCTGCATTACCAAGACACTGACTTTGCGCGTTACGGTACGTTTATAACTATGTGTTAGTAGATTAGCTTTTAGAAAATATTTAGCAGTTGACACTGCTGTAATATTAAAATTATTCGTATTGTTTCGTGTAAGCATTTTGAAAAACATTTTTTACGCTATTTGCTACTAATCTCGCAATCTGATTGGCTAATTTGCCGTTGTCGATAAGAGTCCAGACAACTCTGCTCGCGTCAATTTGTCACGCAATGCCTTTTTCAGCCAGCAACAACCAACCTTTTTCTAAAGACCGTCGCCGAAAGCCCAAGAATCGGATATGATCTGGTACATGAACAGCTCTCTCGAAGTGAATATAGTAGCAAAAATGATGAAGGGAATCTCCCACGGCGCTGGACTGTTCGCACTGACTAACCAGTCAGTGAGAGCCACCGGCGGCCATCACACTATGGTCAAACGCCAACGTTCCTTCACGCCGCATCATGTCCATCTCAGGCCATGCTAATGAGCAAAGCGTATCAAGTTATAACTCTAGACCATCCGTAAAACAGTTGAAGAACTGCTCCAACATCCTCTCAAACGTGCTAGTTAGTAAAGAAGCGAGTTCAGCAGTTGTTCATGTTCCAGTGACGCCAGCTTCGAGTTCGATTTCGTACTCTGCCTCAAACTCCAGTGCTTTGGCCTTCCCAAATGGTTTCTTCCATGGCTGCGCCGTTCCATATGTCAATATGTATGTTTTGCCTCAAAGTCATTATAATTCTGCTTGAATATTTGCAACGCTTGCTCTTTCTTTGTGTCACGATCGTGGTCACGCTCTGAAAAAAATTCTCTTTGACGTTGATATTGTCGATGAGAGTACAGACCACGCTAAACCACATTTCGATTTGTTTTTTACCACAATATCAGCGTCAAAGAAAATGTATTTTTCAGAGCGCGAGCTGAAAAAGGCATTGCGTGACACATGACGCGTGCAGCGTTGTCTGGACTCTTATCGACAACGGCAAATTAGCCAATCAGATTGCGAGATTAGTAGCAATTGTGGTAAAAACCACATTCGCCTAAGTTGCGAGCTGGCACTCTAAAGTGCAACAGCTTCGGCCGTTTCCTAAAACGCCTGTCCCCTGTACCGTATGCAGGAGCTGAATGACGCCTGCTTTAGAGCTATTCTAACCTGCAGCGTTAACGAAAGTGCGATGCACATCATAAGCCATGACATTCATCCATGTGAAAGAGGACAGAATAAAGAAATGAAGAAGAACTGCAACTACCAAGCAAGTGTCTGGGTCGTCATTTTTAACCGCTGAAAAGTAGACACTTTGGTACAGCAACAGGGAAATCGCCAAGTTGATTATGATCTTCCCAGGTAAGTTGCGGAGTTCAGCAAATAAAATATACGTAATCAGCAGGAGAATAAGAGAAATCATTGACAATATGCATCCGATTGATGTGAGAAGCTGGAGAGATCTAGATGCTCGCGTTTTGATTACTTTACGCCGCATACCGGGTCCTCTTTCTGTTGCAGTGAAGTTTCTTGAAAAATTGGCACACAGCAATAATCTTTTTCCACGTATCGTGAAAGTGTTGTTGCTGTATATCTTGTCATGTAGTTTCAAATACATGCTTCCATTAGATAGACGTTCGTAGTCTGACTCATTGAACGCTATTACAGTTGTACAGTTTGGATTCCATTGCTCGGTTTCGTTTCGTCCTCTTTGGTCAGGATCTGTTTGCGGTACAGTTGGAACTATCTTTGTGCATCTGCCAGTGTATGGATCGAACACCTCATCAAACGAGCAGGACCAAAGTTGTTCAATTTGTTGAACCGCGTATTTAACGCTGTCTCTTATCACAATACTGTACTTAGACGTTGAAGTAAAATCAAAAAAGATGGTGAGAGGAGGCAATATCCCGCTGACCCTTCCGCAAATGCTTTCCATAACACTCGTGTTAAACCCATTGCACAAGGCACACTGTGGGTTTCTAAATCGTAGCATTTCTGGACCCCTGACACAGACTGGGAACGCGTACCTCAAGCACTCGGCTTGGCAATAACTGTCGTTGTTATCTTGGCTTATTTTATGGCAGTCCTTAAACCGTGGAATGCATCGATTCAAATAGCTAAGCTGGTTATTTTTCGGCCTTTTATCAATTGAACATCTCCGCTGTAAAAGGCCCAGATCACTGGTAAAATTAAAAGTTGTAACATTAAACCATTCCTCACAATCAAATATAATCTTCCAGTATGTCGTATTTAGTGCAGCATTGCACCTCGCACAGAATATATTTTTGTAAGTCACGTGACTATCTTCGTCAAAAACTGGTAAATTCCTTAAAAGATCACTTTCATCTTCATCCTGGCATTTCTGCAGCACGCTTCTTTCTTTCCAGTTTTTTGGGCAGGTATTCCAAATTACGTAACCATGGTACGCTGAAACTTCATCATGTTTTACACCAAAGCATATTTCACTCGTAGAACGGTTGCTGCTCTGAGGACTAAGATTTTTTCGACATCTGCAAATACAATGAGATCCGCACATTGAAGTTTTGATACGTACTTTTTTGGATATAGTTATTGATTTTTAGAGTGTCTTAAAGGAGGGAAATCGAGGTGCGGGCGTTCCTTGCTTCTCAATTCTTCCGTGATTTCCGCACACTCCAGCGACAATTCCTCATCACTCCTTAATAGGGACATAAACTTCCAGTTGAGCAATTTCATATTTAAGATCATTACATTCTCTTGGGGAGCTAGGAAAAGCTTGAGCAAGAAACCGCCTGACGTTCTGACCAAACCAGCCCACTTCACGTGAAATACAATACTCCCTGAAAGAAAATAGTGCCAGTATGCGAACACGATTGAAAAGGTTTGGAGATTTTGCATAAACTTTGAAATTCTTCCAAACTTTAACTCGTGTTTGCATAAAGAAATGCGAACACGCATTTAATGAGCTATTACTCAAAATATGTACAAGTTATAATTAACGCACGCAGGGAATAGGGTTTCAATCCAGGGATGACCCCATTGTGTTTAATCGCTGGTAACTAACCGCAAATACTCTGAAAGTATCAAGAATTACCGGCTATATTTTAAAATTTAAACACTTACAATTTATCGAAGTCAAAGCAACAGTCACCAAAGTCATCGCAAAGCTCGTCACAATAACATAAAGGTATAAAAACTGCACCATCCGACAGTGATGCATTTCTTTGGTCCAGTCCACACCGAGCGCTACAGCTGTAGCGCGAGTCAGCTGCCATAAAACTGCGTTGAAGAAAAAGGCGCATTTGATCTTCCCACTGTGATCCTGGGAAGTTTGAAAAAACAGAACAAAGAAAAATCTAAGGTATATAAAGATACGGACCGATGCAATATAATAGTCATGAATTGAAGTCAAATATGGTAAAGATTGCTAGCTCAAGATCAGAAACGCTATTTTGGTTTCAGAAAAACATGCTTGTTAACTTATCTTAAACCTGTTTGAATTATTAAATTGCGTATTACTGGTAGAAGGTTAATCATAAAAGGAACTCTGATTAAAAAAAATAAATTGGCGGGTTTTTTTGGGTTTTTTTTTTTTGGTACGGCGTGTAGAGGTTAGAATTCTTGTTTCGGAATCGCTTAGCGCGGTATTTGGACTCTTGACAGATCCGCAAACTATAGTGACTCGGAAATAGAATCTCTCGTAAGTAGACATTCTTTGACCCAAAGGAAAATATGTCCGAGTGTTTTGTATGTAGCTGTGACCATTTCGGAGTGTCCGCTCACAAAAATGTGGGGGAAAATGTGGGAAGAAGCAAGGCTTGCATTATCACACTTCACTATCTTTTAGTCCAGCCTAAATTTTTGAAATTGAAATACATCAACTACATACCCGTGACTTGGGCCATATCTAGGCTACAGTTCCGGAGCAGAGAACGAAGGAAGAAAGAATCAGGAGTAGGTCCGATAGGAGAAGAAACTGTAGTGAAATCTATTGAACTCGCCTGGCTTACGTTGGCTGCTCCATCTGAAAGCAACGGGTTGATTAGGTTATGGGTTGATTAAAAAAACAAATATGCCCTTGCTAAAAATGCTCGAACTTGCATGGCAAGTACATGGACTCTTGTCAGCTTACTTCATTGTTGACGAAATTAATCTAGATGATTCTCTTCAGCTGGTGGAAGTACTTTTGAAAGCGCAATGAACAGTGAACAAGTTTAAAGGGGAGATATACTTGTACTCAGCCATGGCAATGCTGACTGTTAACTAGTATCAAGAGCATTCATGTATAAGCGTTCTAAAACATGTAAAATGAATTACCTCTAATCTGGCCGGCGATGTTTTTCCAAAGGCCTGCGTAAAGCACCAAAACAAATGATATCACTGTGATATGGCGAGGAAAAAACAGCATTTTACGCATTCACCTGAAAATTGTCACAAACAGAGAATGGCTTTGTGAAATATAGTCTCCAAAGTAACAACCAAGTAACACAGAGTTCTTATTATTACGCTCTACGATAAAACTAAATTAGGAAACAGGTGATGCTGGCGAAAAGGAGCGACAAACACTAACTGACTTTGCTTATGAAGTTAAAACATTATTCATGAAACAAATGTCAACCCCCAGGTCACGTATCTGACAAGGCTAATATGTGGCATCAGCTTTTTTGTCAGCTTGAAATTGGCTGATACATAAAGATGAGAAAACTGCGGCGCCTTAACTCAATAGATTAGCGGCATTTGATAGCACGGCAAAAAACCCACTTTTTTGAGTGAAATTGAAACGTGACTTTCAGAAGACTGCATATATATGTTTTAAAGAACTCTCTCTCGGGATAACATTCAGGTTTATAGGAGCCTACATAAACATTTTACGAATAAGCCAAGAAACTGGTTGAAATTTGGATAAAAACTTGTTATTTTCTGCAAAGGGCACATAGGTATACATTACAGTTATCAAGACAACCAATCTTGGTTCAGTCACACCTCGGAATCAACACTGTCTTTATCCGACTTTTGTGGGTTTACATCAAAAAGTTTAGACAGCTCAATGTTTACGCTACGCACATCACGACAGTGACGCCAAGAACAACGTTAAATGTGAAACCAATTCATATTTTACTAAAGAATTCCAGTTAACTCTAGATCCATTCGATGTGCCTATCGATGTTGAAACTATTTTCACTGCATAATTAATCAGCTCATTGCAAAACATGCTCTTATTCCATCACATTCCCCCGTTTTCGCCCGTGCTGGTAGCGTCGGTAATGCTTTGTGCCATTTGGAGTTTAAATTTGGTCTCTCCGCTTGAAGTGTGATCTTTTCGTCCCGTACTCCACAAAGACAGTCGTTTTTTGCGACCTGCCCACCTCCCCTGTTGGCGGTTGACCAAGCTCCTATCTGCTCATATCTTCGTTGCATGTCTATTGCCTCATCAGTCGCGGACTCTTCTCATAACTTAACCTTATACCGTGAGGCAATGGATATGCAGTGAGGATATGGTACTATCCTGAGCTCAACATGTAAAGACAACATTTAGAAGGGCGTGAATTAAGTTTAACTGCATGATATCCGAGAATTGCTTAACATTTTGCCGATAGCTGAGAGATGACGCGTTGTTTTAAGTGTCAGCTGATCATGAGATCTAGGGTGTGAAAAACACTACTGGTGCTGCTCTCCAGCTGAGAAATGGACCGAGCTGATGAATGAGTTTCCAGCCCCTGCTCTAGACCTTTTTCAGGTCTAAATAGAAGCTAATGAATGAGTTGCCAGTAATCGGATACCCGTGTTCGCGCGAAGAACTCTGGGATCGTCAGGGGGCAAACATTGCTAGTCGCTAAAAGGAAATGTATGGCGAAAAGTTGTTTCGAAGTACAAGAAAACGA